CTGAGCATCAGACCTGCCAGCGCGGGAGAGGCTCCCTTTGTTGGCAGTCTGCCATGTGAAGTGCCCACTCTAATTGGGCTGGACCTGCAAGCAGCGGCATCTTGCTGCCTGTGTGTCAGGCTCAGCTTCTGATGAATGTGAAAGCAGCTCCCTGCGCGGCAGGGGCCTCTCCCCTTCCACAGACAGGGCGTCCCTGCCCGATCCTCCCTGGTGCGTCCCACCATTTTGCAGCCAATGTGGGACTTCCTGGCCCAGGATAGACTGGCTAAAACTATTGTTGTGATAAGTAAAATAAGGATCCTCCCTTTCCAGGGGTTGGTGGGAGTAGTTCTAGCTCATCTGCTAGTTTGTCTACTGTTTATCTAAGCTATCCGACCTCATCCCTCATGCTTAACAAAAGGAGAAAAAGGGGAACGTAGATAAAATCCACATTGTTCTTAATCTCGAGAACCCCACTTTCACTCCCAGGAGGACACAGAGTCACAGGCTTTAGTTCTCACAGAGTCAACTGTGTCTTACTGTGGTACAGCTATTCTTTCAAATTAGGATAGAAAAAGGATGTGCCATTTTATTACGCAGTGATGTGCCAGGTTCCCCTTTATCCAGTACACGTAGGTGTGGAGTGATTTATGTCAACATGAGGATTACTATCGGGGATTAGCAAAGGCTGTTCTTTAGGCTTATTTAGATCCTGGCTGAAGAGGGATGACTATATTTAGGATGGCTTAACCACATCTGTAGATATTCCAGTCCTGGAATAATAGGCTCCTGAATCTTCGTGTAGAGACATGCTACACGCCTTTCCAGTTTACATCATGGATTCCCTCAGCTGAGCTGCTCTTCACAGTAGATGTTTTCTTATGACCCCACACACTCTGCTTTGTTAATAGTTTATAAATTGTATGTTACTAGTCTTTATGATCTGTGAACTAAAATAAAATCCTGCCCCCACCCCTTGCTGACTAAAGAGACCCCCTCTCAGCCAAGGGGACCCCAGAGAAACCTTAAAACTGACTTCCTGGCTGTGACGGGGTGTGAGGTTGGACACGCCTCCTGACACCCCTTCCTTGATCGGGGCTGGCAAGTTCTTCCTTAAGGACTACACAGAAAGCAGTCTCATGATCTGCTCCTCCCTTTTTGTGCTTTTGGCACCGCAGCTGGTAAGAGACCGCTAACCACGGAGTGGCTTTAACCAGTCCACAGAGCTTGTGCAGAGAGGGATTTCCTGTCACGTTTGCACCAGAGGGCCACTGTTTCCTGAACGTGGACCCCATAAAGGGGCATGAAGTTTGACTGTGCATGTGTGTGTTTCTCCTTTCATACATACTCATGGCTCCCCCGTAGCTTGTTAAATATGTCTATCTGCCCCCCTCCGCCGGCCCCCACGCCTGGCTAATCTTTCTATATTTTGTAGAGACGGGGTCTCACTCTTGCATGTTTTATGTGGGTAGTTTGGTGAAAAATGGTAAAAGCTTATTAGCAAATACCCGTGAGCGAGAGTAACTGACAAGTAGGCACCAGTAGAGTTACTGAACATCCCAGCAAAAATGCCAGAAGGAAAATTTTGGGAGATCAGAGAAATGGGATAGAAATGGTGCCCTTCACCTGGGAGGGCTCCAGGAAGGTGCCAAGAGGAGAGGGTGTGTTCTCCTTGTGAGTTTCTTGTGAGTACTAACTTCCCAGGTGTCTACTCTGCTTGGTTGCTTCTGGCCAGAAAGTCATATGTGTGTTCATGCATTGACAGTCTTTAATAAATATTTTCAGTCTAAGAGGTGTTTTTTTTTAATCCTTTGGACTTTATTTTTTTGAATAGGAAGAACACTAAGTTCAAAAATCACCTTTATAAAAAGATACACTTAGAGAAAGAGATATCACCCCTGTCTCTTCCACCCCACCCCTCCATTAGTTTTTACTTGTTGGAGTCAAATAAAATATAGAGATGAATCTCTAAACCGTTTTATTTGGGAGCAAGAATTGCAATTCAGGGCATACCTACAGACCAGGTGGTCTTCAGTATGTCTGAAGAACAGAGAGAAGTTTGGAAGTTTTATAATAAGGAGAAATGTTATATATTATTGTTTTGAAAGTAAGTTCATTGGCACTGGTAAAGTTTCGGGAGCCTGTAAGCTGTGATTGGCGAGTGACAGTGGTGACTGAAACTAGTCTTAGAGCAGGAGATCTCAGCAGCTGCTTGGAAGAACTGGCTTCAGGCTCCAGCAGGTGGTCCCAGCGGCCAGGCCTGCAGGAGGAATTCCATTCTGGGGCAAGCTTTCTCCCCCAGCCTCGCCACTCTGTTTAGTTGGATGTGACAAGAATGACCCAATTCTTATGATCAACTGTCACATACTATACCCTTCCTATGATTCTTTTTTGTTTAAATTTTTTATTGATACATAATAATTGTACATATTTATGGGGTACATGTAATGTTTTGATACATGAAACCTATGATTCTTTTTGTAAAAAGCAACCCAAATGTACAATTTTCCTTTTCCATAAAGGATAGCATACTCTTCATACCCTTTTGCATATTGCATTTTCACCTCCATGGTATCTTGGAAATCACCTCGTGGGCTCCCAGAGACCGTCTTCATTCTTGTTGGCTGCAAAATACTCCATTATGTGGGACATCGTCATTTATTAACCAGCCTTCTCTGGGCGTTTATGTCATTTCCAGGATTTTGCTATTAGAAATAATGCCATAATAAATAACCTTGGTCATGCGGCATTTTGTATTTGTGGAGGAAATCAGTCATTAAAGACAACTGCATTAGTAGTTTTCCAGATATTCCTAAATATCCTCCCAGCAATCATGCATGAGAGTGCTGGGGAGTTTATGTCACAGTGCATTGCTTTTCTATAACCTTGTGTAGTTTTAAAACACCTGCATACACAGATTCACACCCCCCCACACAGGTGGCTGCATGTTGGGGAGGTCGAGGCAGGGAAAGCATGCCTGCGCCAGGGTCCTGCACACCTCCCTGCGGTTCTCTTTCTGCCCTCTGTCATCTCAGGGCACCACAGTGGGGTCTCCGGGGTAACGTTGGTTAGTCTAGGAGAGACAGTGCTGAGGGTTGTTGATTCTGCCACCACAGAGAGACTTTGTGACCCTGAACACCCACCAGGGGCCTGCTCTTTAATCTGTAAAGTGGTAGTCCATATTCACACATCCCAGAGATAATGTGAATTCAAATGTGTGACACTATTTTGTTTAGGAAAAAAAATCCTTTCTAAAATGCAGTACATCAGGGCAATTTTTGTTGCTACCTTAAGAGTCAGGAGATGTGGTGCTGGAGCATCACACAAGCGGCTGCTTTGATTAGGCAATCCTTTAAGGGAAACCTCAACAGAGGCGATGTGGAGGCAGGAGCTTCTGTTATTTCCCTGCACTGTCCTGTGCACCTCGGCCCTGGCTCTCGGGCCTGCCGACCGTCACTGTGGGGCTGCCACAGGAGCCGACAGGCCGCGGGAGCAGAGGGTTTCGGGCTTGGGCTCTGCTTTCCCTGAGTTTTGGGCTGCTCGCAAGGGGGCAAGGGCTGGTTCTTGATTATGTGGAACCTGAGCGTCAGGTTCCAGGAATTTTGCTGGTGTCTGGCGGTGATGGACAATAAAGAAGACCTGCTTACGTGCCATGTGGAACACAAACTGGTTTCTCAGTTTATCACAGAAGACTCTAGTGAAATGAGTCGTAACTTGGGGCAGAGACCTGAAATTGCCATTCCATACCAAAATAAACTGATTTCTTCAGCTGTCTGAACTTCATTTCTGAAACTGAACAGGAGCCAACCTAGTCTAAATTAAATTCATTTTCCATTAATAAAACTGGGTCACTTCTGGCTGCGTGAGTATGCTCCTGAGTATGTTAAAGCACATTCCAAAAAATCCAGTGTTTCATGCTATTTTCACAACCCATCTGTTTCAGCCAGTGTAACACTGGCACTCACCTCTCCCTTGGCATGCTCTGCAGATTTGGGTATGTTTCTGACTTCCTTGCAGTTGTCAGGCAGACTGGCGGGAGGGCATCACTGTGCACCTGCCGGGCTGGGGGCAGGCAGTGGAGGGGAGCTGACCTTGTGGGCGGGGGCTTGGGCAGGACGGTTAGCCCCTGCGTTGCTCAAAGATGGCTTTGCTTTCATTGTGCCTTTGCTGGTGTTCCTGCTGCTGGTAGCTTTGCACTATAATGTTTTGAAGGTTTTATTTACATACAGGTCCAGTTAACTAGATCATGGAGGTAGGAAGTTGCGAATTTTTAAAAAAAACAATGGCATGAATGGGATAATTTTTGAAAAGCCTTGTTCAGATGGGCTTTTCTCCTTAGAGACCTCTCTGAGCAGTTGGTGACATTGGCTTGGTCTCATGGTTGTAGGGGGGTGGGATCACTAGGGTGGCACTGGGCCCTGCTCCAAGGCCTTGTGGGGCCTGGGTCCCACGCCTGGAATGTGGGAGTCACTCTTCCTTGGACAGCCCAGGGAGGCTCCCATCGTCTCTCCTTGTTCCTCCTCTTCTGTCTTCCTGCGTGAGAGAGGGAGGGCAGGAAGTGAATCCGGACTCACTGTCTGCCAGCTGTAGGTCTGAATATGGCTTCGATGTAGAAATGTTAAAACTATGGGAGTAAAAATTGGGGAAAATGGAAATCTTTGTAGTGAAACTTTAGTATTCTTTAGTAATCTGAAATACCATACCAGGTAAATTCTAAAAAATAGATTGTTTCTAATTTACCTTTTTAATGAAATGGTCACACACCATGTACTTAAAGATAATGAAAGACTAGAAGAATAATGGGAAAATGGATGTTTTCCTATGATTACTTCCCTTTTAAGAAATTTTAAAGAAATGAAAAGTCATGGGTGGGGGTCTCCCTCTAATTGTCTGCCCGAATCTCCCAGCTTTCTCTGTGTTTGAGCTGCGGCCTCTCCTCCCTCCCTGTTGCCTTTGGGAGATCTTCTTAACAGTGTACAGATAACTCACCACTGACGACACTTCTCTTGTTCTATTTCCAGTGCACAGAAGCAAAAAAACATTGCTGGTATTTTGAAGGACTCTATCCAACATATTACATGTAAGTAGTTGCACTTTTCTGTTGGTTTGACTCTGGGAATTACCTCTTTAATGGTCTTTACTGGTCTAGGTGCAGACTGTGGGCTGGGGAAGCCCGGGCGCAGCCCTCCCTCCACCCCAGGGAGCGTGGGCAGCCGCCCCGCTGACAGCATCCCACCTGCTCAGACCAGTTTCTCTGAGGACAGCTTGAAATACTGCGTGTCTCGTTCTGTGATGCAGACGGGCTCATATGTGATTGGCAAAAAGGGGCGGGATATCTGTGGAATGCAAAAGTTTCGTTGGTTTGTATAAATTTTCCTAGGCAAAGGGAGCAAGGAGAATAGGAGTACACTTATGACCTTGAGCAGGACAAGAAAAAGGCCTCGGCTGAGCTACTGTGACTGTGTATGTGTGAGTAAAATCACAATGACCGCCTGTCCCCGAGGCCCCCTCCCCAGAGAGGTGCCTGCACAGCCTCGCATGGCTCGTGGCAGGTTGCACTTCTTCGTGTGCCCACCTTAGCACCTGCCACTCTTGCTCTAATTAAAGCACTACTGTGTTTTCTCCCCTTCATGTACTTTTAATGTTTGCTGTGGTAACCTCTAGCTATGTGGAGCCACCTGCCGAGGTGGCCAGATTAACTCTCTGGATTATCAATTACTGGTTTTGATTGTGTTTGAAGTGCCATGGGTTTTGAGTAGAATGCTCCAACCAAATTTTCCCAAAAGCTCTATTATTTTTCAGTACTGAATTTTGTAAAACCTGAGACTTTTCCAGGAATGCACATATATTGTATTACAGCAGAAATACTGTATATTCTAGCACAAAGGCTAATTGGACAGGGTATTCATTCTTTTTACCTGTCCTTCTGGAGGACACCAGCGCAGGAGGCGGAAGTTTGCCTGCCTGCGAATGGGGACCACACACAGGGGAGTGAGCAGTGTCCTTGTTGTCGTTTCGTACCCACAAGCAGGAGTCCCGATGCCCTGCGAGGCAGGGTTCCTGGCAGAAAGCCTGTGCGGCTGCAGAAAGGCAGAAACCACTTGGAAAACAAGGCAGCCGCATAAGGACTTTGACTCTAATTACAGAGTTTGTCAGGTTGAAGCAAAGTGGTTATGGAATAAGAGGGAGATAAAATAATTTGATTCTTCTCAGTGTAATAAATTTTCATCAGGGAGCTTTATTTCCTTGATTCAGCTTCTTACACAAATGTGGAGCGACCACCTCCTCTTGCGTGTTCTTTGTGGAAAATATTGTTCCAGTTGTTTAGAACATCAGCTTTGTCAGAGGTTGGGAGCCAGAGGTCATTGCTGTTCTTGTATTTCCTTGTTTGTTTGTTCCTTCATGCATTCCACTTGTCTGCCACATGTTTCGAAAGTGTCTGCATTGAGCTAGAGATGGGGAATGCAGAGATAAGTGGCCCTTGTCGCTCAGGCCTGCTGGGTTGGTTTCCTCACACCCGTCTTCTTGAGGTCCCCGGGTACACTGTCCTAAAAAATGAAAGTCAAGTCACTCCGTTAGGATACTGAAGCTCAACAGGTAGCATGTGAGACAGATGACATTTATCAAGTCCTTAATACAGGCCAGGCATTGTCCTATGCCTCTCACATGAATTAACATCTTCTAATTTCATACTCCCTGAAAAACCCCGGCCACATCCACTAGCCTTCCTGCTTCTGCCTCTGCTCTTTCTGTTTCTCTCCTGTTCCCAGTTCATCCCCCAGATCCAGGTCTGTTAATGCTCATCTGAATCACTGCAGAAACTTTCCATCTCTTCTCCCATCCAGTTCTCACTTCTCTCTAAATTTTCATGACACTTTTCTGCTTAAAATCACCAGGAACAAATTCCAGCTTCTTAGCCACCTTTAAGCAGTAGGTTTCCAAGATACTTGCCCAGCTTTCTCTTTCTTTATCGCGAGTTTCATAAGGTCAACAATTCATAAACATTTGAATTCCCAGTGCCCGGGACAGTGCCTGGCATGCAGTGGCACGCCTGCATGTCGAGTGGTGCTTTTCCTTTCAGTTCCCACTGTGCAGTCTGTGTTGGCTGACGTACGGGACTTTTCCTCATTCCCCAGTTCTCCACCTGGCAGACTCCCCCTGCTGGTCGGAAACCTCCCATGACTCAGTCTCCCCATGAGGATTTGTTCCTCCTTCCCCATTCTGGCTCTGACACAGCACCCTGGACAGTGCTCACTGACAGCACTCGTGTGCTGTGTCACTGTCCCACGAGTGCATCTGGAAGGGGGTCATGGCCCATGGGCTTGTCTAACCCCAGTGCCGGTCACAGCGTGCACTCGACGTTTGTCTTCACGTTTGCAGCTTATTTTATTTTCAGCTGGCTCGCTCTGCCCTGTCTTTGTTTCCCACATCCTGGCACCCTTTCCTTGGGCACAGAGTTTTAAGTGTGTAGATTCCAGAGTCTAAAAGATCAGGGTTCAAGTATTTGCTCTATTACTTTATCTTTAATGAAGATGAAATTCACAGAACTGATTTAACCATTTTAAAGTGGACGATGTAGTAGGATAGAACAAACAGCAGTCCCCAAACTTTTTGGCACCAGGGACCCATTTCATGGAAGACAGTTTTTCCACAGATGAGGGTGGGGAGGATGTTTTCTGGATGATTCAAGAGCATTACGTTTATTGTGCAGTCAGACCTCTCTGCTAATGACAATCTGTATTTGCAGCCGCTCCCCAGCGCCAGCATCACCGCCTCAGCTCCACCTCAGACCATCAGGCATTAGATTCTCATAGGGAGCCGCAACCCAGATCCCTCGCACGCGCAGTTCACAGAAGGGTTCGCGCTCCTTTGAGGATCTAATGCCGCTGATCTGACAGGAGGCGGAGCTCAGGCGGTGACGCGAGCGTTGGGGAGCGGCTGTAAGTACAGATGAAACCTCACCTGCTCAGCTACCCACAGCTCACCTCTTGCTGTGAGTGACCGGTTCCTAACAGGTCACTGACCAGTACTGGTCCTCAGCCCAGGGGTTGGGGACTGCAGCACTGCCTCTATTTGGCACCAAACATGTCCATCCCTCTGCTCTGTTATGCACCATCTGTTTGCCCTTGTCAGTCAGCTGCTTCTCTAAAACATGAACACGGATTCTGATCATCCGGGTTTGTGGCGCAGGGCCCACCTCAGCATCGAAGTCCTGTATGAGTGTGCACATACCCACGGCTAACTCGCATCTCTGCCACGTACGCTCACGAGCTCAGTTCTACAGACTGGATGCTCTGCTTTCCTGAACATCCCGGGACGACAGACACAGGCAAGGTGCTCCCTGACACAACTGGGAGCCCAGTGTGGTACCAAGGAGGACAGTTAGGCAGCCAGCACACGGGGTGTCTGGTCCACACCCGGTGTGGTTGGGGTATTTAACGCTCACAAGCTCTTCTTCCTGCCGTCCATCAAGTTGGGGTAATGAAACATTGTTATCCAAGGGGAATGGGGAGAAATTGCTTAGCTGTATTCTATTTCAGCTAAGCTTGTCTCAAGGATGGATTTGCTGCAGGCCAGACAGTAGCCCCGGAAAGGTCATAGCCCACACTAGAAGTGCTTGGCCTGCAGAAGACACAGCTGCCCTGGGAGTTAGCCTCGAGGGGAATGTTACTGTTGATCCCTGAAGCCAACTGCATGGTTTCTGTCGAGCTGGCACAGACAGTGGTGCGGGAAGAGGAGACTCATATCCAACTGAAGTTCACCCTGCTGCTCAGGCCTGGCCAGATGAGGCATCCAGGCTGGTGGCCTGCTGTCTACACACTGCACCTGACCTGGCCTCTGGACACCTGGTTAGTGTGCAAGGTGTGAGTCTAGGGTGGGGACAGCTGCACTTCATTCTTTTAGTCTACAAGTATCTGTTGCGTGTCTGCCATGGGTCAGTTGTGGTATGCCGGGGTGTGCAGTACAGGAACGGTCCTTGTGCCTTGTCTGGCTGCCATAAAATAATGTGAGATTGCTGGGTTATTTCTGAAGCACCTTTGATATTACATTAAACAACCCGTAAGTTATAACAGATCTCATTTAAAAAGTACATTTCCTGTATATTCTACCTTTCATTTCTCCTGGGTAAAGGGCTTTATATAAGATTCTTCAAAATAGGTAATACCTTACAAATATGTTGACTCAAGGTGATGTCCTCATTTATTTTTCCCCTGTAGAAAATATATTTCAAATGCCATCTCTGTTTTGTGATTATAACTTACAATGTGGAATGCTTTGGGGAGAGAGCATCTAGATTGCAAACTTGTTTCACAGATTTTATTCTTATGTTTGAAAATCTAATTTCATTTAGTTTTACCAAAATCCCATATGGCACCCCTTCTTCTCATGGCTCTTTGCGTCCCTAAATTTCATTCCAGCATTCTGGTTATTAAGCTAATAGAGGCTGATTTTTTTAATGACACTTAGCTACCTACACATACAAAATTACTCCCACCTGTTCTGATTTCTTATGCTAAATGGTCTGTCTCTCTTTCTGCCCCTTCCCTGTTTCAAGGTTTTTCTTTTCATTTCTTTAACTTGTTATTTATGTTACCACTGTTGTGCTGGGAGACTGCATGTATGTGTGTACAAACAAGATATTCCTCCTGTTTTTCAAGAAAAAGACCTTTTGGGATGCGAACCGAAAAGCAACGCGTACTTCAAATCTCTCTCCTATTATTTTTCTTTCCCCTCAGCCTTCACTTCACTACCTTTCTTTGCTGTTGCAGGTTTCCTTTTCAAGAGCTCTTAATTAAAATGTGCATCTTTTGTGCTTTCGTTCAGGGCTTACTAGGTAATCTCCTCTTAGCAACAGTGTGGTTTAAAAATAGCATGTGGACATGTGGCCTCACCAAATCCAGTTCCTTTGCCTGCATTCTCTGCTTGAGTTCCCCTACTGAGGACTGCTCACTCAGCCCCTTTGTCTCCAGGCTGGAACACAGCATGAGCTCGGAGGCAGGAGATGAGAAGATAAGGGTAGGACCTTGCCAGGGAACACATCCCAGCTGCAGGGATCCCAAGGAGTGCCTTTTCCTCCCA